AGCTACTCTAGCAAATTAATTGAACACAAGGAGGAGGTTGGGGGAACCTCTAATTTGTAGTCAGTCAGTCAGAAGTACAGGTAACAACCTGGGCTTGCAACTGGTGTCTGTAGTGTAGCTATATCTCATCTCCTGTTTCTTTCCCGGCCAAGCTTCTGGAAAGAGCATCCAGATTTGAAAATAACTTCTTCATAAAATACTAAATTCTCATAGTTATGCTTGGATATGTTCCTGAACTTTTTATTATGTTGCATTGACCTTTCTCTCTCATTTTAATTACCACTATTATTGCAGTATTTTAATTACTTCAGCTTATGATAATTTTAATATACAATAATATGATATAGTATAATAACACTATGTATACTACATAATAATATTATATAGTATAATAACAATATAGTATATAGTAAGCCCTATTATTGACATCCTTTCCCAAATTTTCCTGCCTACCCTTGCTTCTATATTTTCTGATAAATATTAAATCACTTTTTTTTTTTTTTTTTGCGGTACGCGGGCCTCTCACTGTTGTGGCCTCTCCCATTGTGGAGCACAGGCTCTGGATGCGCAGGCTCAGGGGCCATGGCTCACGGGCCCAGCCACTCCGCGGCATGTGGGATCTTCCCGGACCGGGGCACGAACCTGTGTCCCCTGCATCGGCAGGCGGACTGTCAACCACTGCGCCACCAGGGAAGCCCCTATGGCAGATTTAATAAAGAAATTGTCTTTGAGCAACCAGGACCTGCTTGTACCTGTACAATGTCAAAGGATAAAGATCATCAAAATACTGATAGATTTCTGTAGAAGCATAACCTCACCTTCCATGGTATATTAGTTTTCTAGGGCTATTATAACAAAGTGCCAAAGACTGGGTGGCTTAACCAACAGAAATTTATTTTCTTAAAGTTATGGAGGCCAGAAGTCAAAAATCAAGGTGTTGGTAGGTTAGATTTCTTCTGAGAGCCATAAGGGAAGGATCTGTTCCAGGCCTCTATCCTTGGCTTGTATTGGGTTGGCCAACAAGTTAGTTCACTTTTTCTGTAACATGGCTCTAGTAGTGCTTAGCTGTCTTTAACTTCATTTGAAACAATTTTGTTAGATTGTATTATGACAGCTGTCATACCAGAGTGCATGTAAAAAAAACTTAGCAAAATTGTGAATTTTTGTGTAGCCATTTTAATATTGAAGATGGAAGAAAAAAAGCAACATCTTCGGCATATTATGCTTTATTATTTCAAGAAAGATAAAAATGCAACTGAAATGCAAAAAAAGATTTGTGCAGTGTATGGAGAAGTTGCTCGTGACAGATCGAACATGTCAAAAGTGGTTTGTGAAGTTTCGTGCTGGAGATTTCTCGCTGGATGATGCTCCATGGTCAGGTAGACCGGTTGAAATTGATAGCAATGAAATCAAGACATTAACTGAGAACAATCAACGTTCTACCACGCAAGAGACAGCCGACATACTCAAAATATCCAAATCAAGCGTTGAAAATCATTTGCACCAGCTTGGTTATGTGAATCGCTTTGATGTTTGGGTTCCACATAAGGTAAGCGAAAAAAACCTTCTTGACCGTATTTCCACATGCAATTCTCTACTTAAATGTAACGAAAATGTTCCGTTTTTAAAACAAATTGTGACGGGCAATGAAAAGTGGATACTGTACAAGAATGTGGAACAGAAGAGATCGTGGGGCAAATGAAAGGAACCACCACCAAGCACACCAAAGGCCGGTCTTCATCCAAAGAAAGTGATGTTGTGTACATGGTGGGATTGGAAGGGAGTCCTCTATTATGAGCTCCTTCTGGAAAACCAAACGATTAATTCCAAAAAGTACTGCTCCCAATTAGATCAACTGAAAACAGCACTCGATGAAAAGCAGAATTAGTCAACAGAAAACGCATAATCTTCCATCAGGATAACACAAGACCACATGTTTCTTTGATGACCAGGCAAAAACTGTTACTGCTTGGCTGGGAATTTCTGATTCATCTGCCGTATTCACCAGACATTGCACCTTCAGATTTCCATTTATTTTGGTCTTTACAAAATGCTCTTAATGGAAAAAATTTCAATTACCTGGCAGACTGTTCCTGGCACCTGGAACAGTTCTTTGCTCAAAAAGATGGGAAGATGGAATTACAAAGTTGCCTGAAAAATGGCAGAAGGTAGTGGAACAAAAGGGTGAATACATTGTTCAATAAAGTTCTTGGTGAAAATGAAAAATGTCTTTTTTTACTTTAAAACTGAAGGAACTTTTTGGCCAACTCAGTAGATGGCCATCTTCTTCCTATGTCTTCACATCATTTTCCCTCTGTCCTTGTCTATGTCCATATTTCCTCTTCTTATAAGGACACTATTCATATTGGATTAGAGCCCACCTAATGACCTCATTTTAATTTGATTACCTATGTAAGTACTCTACCTCCAAATGTGGTCACATTCTAAGGCACTGAGGCTTAGGACTTCATCAAATGAACCTTTGTGGGGACATAATTCATAACACATGGAGACCAGCTTTTCCATAACAGAGCATAATAAATCCTCAACCCCAGTTTCCAGCAGCAGCCAAGGTGATGTTAATAGAGCTCCCAGTTTATAGTTAAGCAGACAGTTGCCCAACAGCCTCAAGGTTCTGCCCATGCATATACATTATCCTTGTGGAGCAGGAATGTTGGCCTGCAAGCATGTTCTCCTGCCAGCATGCTAACAGTAGAGCCCTAGGGCATTGGCTGGCTGATTTTTAAGTACATGCTATTATAACTGTGACAAAACAATACTTTCTTCTTTGGAAATTGGCTCTTTCCTCATCTTGTGAAGTGCTACAAGAAGTATGAAGGGCTTTGATTGTTTTTATCATGATTATTATTGTTGAACTGTAGCTTAGGTGATGATGAGTGTGTATTGCAGGAGCATCCTGGGGCTGGAGGCTCTGGTATGAGTGCCCATTGAGAGGATCCTGGGGAAAGCCAATGAGGCTCTTTCCAGGGTTTCTGTAAAGGTTCTTAGTAAGTAAAAGCACATACTTACCTTAATAGGGAAGTACTTTTGCAGATAGAAATCATTTGAAAGAGACAAAGCTCCAAGTCAGTATCAGGGGATTCCCAGGTTTTATCTTTGGTGGGCATCTGCTATTTGTGTTAAAGTGAGAGGGAGGCTTGTGCTCCTTGCAGAAAATGCCACCTTACTCTATCAGAACGATACTCAGGAGCTATAGGCTTAGCTTTCTTGTCTCCACCATTGACCAAAATGTTTAGTGTCTGTAACTTAAGAAATCTTCTCAACCATGACTCTCACAATTAGAAATGATACTATCCTCCATCAGGGCCTTCTTGGATTTATTCCTAGTTACCACGCTGTGAATACCGTGGTATAGAATATAGATTCCAGCAGGTGGCACAGGGGTGTTTGGATCTTTAGAGGATAATCTGATACTTTTGGCCTGATTATTATTAAGCACCTTCTGACTAAGTCACCTCATGGATTGTGTTGCTTAAATCAAGAGGTCATTTAATTTCTGTAATGCTGAGCTGAAGTTTCAGGCCATTTTCTACTTTTGGCTCATCAGACTTCAGAGACCAAGAAGTTGCTGTACTCTTAGAAGAAAATATTAACAAACACTGGAAGCACCATTATTTGTCATGAGCAGTGAGTCACCGCAAGAAAGGGCAAAGAAAGCTGTAGGGTCAAGAATAAAAACACTTGGAAAAAGAATCCTAGCTTGGGGATGGAAATAATATAGCATTCACCCTAACAGAGAAAAATGGTTTGGGAAAATAGAGAGGTTTTTGGTTTTTTTTTCCTTTTTTATACTTAGACATAGATAATAGTAACCAAACACCCTTAAGTGATTGGAAACTTATGTCAGTTCCCAACCATTAAATCTTGAGTTATGGTTTGATGCATAGTTAAAACAGACAAAAAATAATTGTTTGCCAAAACATTTATTATTAATTTTTTACACAGTCCAATTATTTTAACAAGTATGTCTCCAAAGTAGTATCAATAGGCCTTAAAGGATTGTGGGCTGATGGGTCTTGTCAAAGGGCCTCCAGGGACATGCCCCTCTGTCCACAAACATTCCCCCTTCCCTTCCCCAAAATGCTCTGTGATCTCTGGTTGGCTCTAGAGCAAGGTAGATGTTTACAGGATCCTGAGCAGGTCCCCTCTCAGCTAAAATTAACAAAGGTAGTAATATTCTCAAGCTCATCGAAGACTGGGGGAAAGGAACTGAGCACTACAGACTACAAGCAGACATGGTTTTAAGGTTTGAGCTTTGGAGTTGTTTGAGAAACACCTTGCTTTTGCTTCATGAGATTTTAAATACTTATAGAGTTAAGTGTAAAAATCTAATTCAAATTCTAAGTCTTCAAGCTAAACCTTATTCTTAACAGATATTTCTTCTAGTTACGGGCTGATTTCACAGGGAGTTTTTCTGGAGAAGCCATTCCCCCTGCACTATTCAAGCATTGTTGTAAAAATTCAGTCCCCTGGCAGAATCTGTGCTAATTATGCTACAAAAAGTGACAAGCTATTTGGAGGTAAATATTAATGTAATTTAGGCCCAAGAACAAATACCAACTTGAACATCAAAAATATCTGAACTCTCTACAAGATGGATCAACAAATTAAAAAACAGACCCATTCTTTTGAATCTCAAATCGACATAATATTCTTGTTACTTTTGAAAGCAATAAATGAACGTGTTCCCCAAACAAAATTCCTTAAAGAAATGAAATGGCTTATATGTTTTTAAAAAATGCACACCACATCTGCACCAAAGAGCAAAGACATCCTGCAGTAAAGAACTACTTAAGGAAGAATAAAAGGCAGGAGTACAAAGTACATGAAAGAGTGTAGCTTAAGATTTTGTAAAAAAGAGATATTCTAACACCAGAGAGTTTTCCCCCAACCGGAAACATTAGAGTCATTTGGTACTCAGTGTTTCTCGTTTTCCTTTGCTCGAAGCTTTGGCAGGTGTCGGGATTTGGCAGCATCTCTTAAAGGCGGTATTGACATCGCTGCTCTTGGACGTACTCGTAACAGAGGGCTGGAGCGCACCGGGGCACTGGCATACTGATGGTTGCCGGGCTCCAGAACCTGCCGACGGCCCTCGTCCTCCTCCCAGACTTGGCTGTGGCTCTTCTCCTCCTGCTGCTGGCGGCGGAGCTGTTCTTCTTTCCGGAGTTTTCTCTCCCGCTTCTGCCGGCGCCTCAGCTCTTCCTGCCCCTCGCGCTGCCGCTGCTCTTCTTGCTCGAGGAACTTACTGTCCTACTCCTGGACGCGTCGCTTTTCTAACTCTGGCTCCTGCCGGAGCCTCTGCTCTCCCTCTAGGAACTTCCTGTCTCTCTGCCTCGGACGTCTCTGTTCTTCCTCTGGCTCTGTGCGCTTAAGTTGTTCCTCCTGGGAGAAGGCATCCTCTAGCTCCTGGCGGCGCAGCTGTTCTTCCCCTTCCCGGCGGAGCTGTTCCCCCTCGCGGAATTTTCTATCTCGCTCCCGGCGAAGCTGTTGCTCGCGTTCCGGCCGGCGCAGTTTCTGTTCCTCTTTGGAAACTCTCTGTCTTCTTCCTGAAGGCGTATTTTCTCCTCTCTTTCCACTCTCAGCAACTGCTCTTCCTCTCGGAAATTTCTGTCTCGCCTTTTGGCTTCCTTTTGCTCCTCCCTCTCCAGCAGTTCTTCAGCTGGGAATTGCCTTTCGCGCTGTTGCCAGCTCCTCCTCTCTTGCTCTCGTTCTCTTTCCTCTTCTTGTTCATCCTGCAGGGGCCACCGATCCTGATGGGATTGTCTCTCCCGCACCTGGGAATCATCCAGTTGCTGGATCTTTTCTTTATTCTCTCTGCGTTTGGAGTAAACCCTGTTCTTACGAACTTCATTTTCTTTTCTTTTTTTTGCGGTACGCGGGTGGCCTCTCCCGTTGCGGAGCACAGGCTCCGGACGCGCAGGCTCAGCGGCCATGGCTCACGGGCCCAGCCACTCCGCGGCATGTGGGATCCTTCCGGACCGGGGCACGAACCCGTGTCCCCTGCATCGGCAGGCGGACTCTCAACCACTGCGCCACCAGGGAAGCCCTCTGGGGGAGTTTTTTGAAGAAAAGTTTTTATTAAAATATAGTTGATTTACAACGTTGTGTTAGTTTCAGGGGTACAGCAAAGTGATTCAGACATATATATATATATTCTGTTTTAGATTCTTTTCCATTATAGGTTATTACAAGATATTGAGTATAATTGCCTATGCTATACAGTAGGTTCTTGCTGTTTATCTATTTTATATATAGTAGTGTGTATATTTTAATCCCAAACTCCTAAATTAACCTTCCCCCCCCTTCCCTTTTGGTTAACCAAGTTTGTTTTCTATGTCTGTGAGTCTATTTCAGTTTTGTAAATAGGTTCATTTGTATCATTTTAAAAATTCCCCATATAAGTAATATCATATATTTGTTTTTCTCTGTCTGACTTACTTCACTTAGTGTGATAATCTCTAGGTCCATCCATGTTGCTGCAAATAGCATTATTTCATTCTTTTTTTTAAGGCTGAGCAATATTCCATTGTGTATATATACCACATCTTCTTTATCCATTCCTCTGTTGATGGGCACTTAGGTTGCTTTCACATCTTGGCCATTGTAAATAGCGCTGCTATGAACATTAGGGTGCATGTGTCTTTTTTTTTTACATGTGTCTTTTTGATTTATGGTTTTCTCCAGATATATGCCCAGGAGTGGGATCGCTGGATCATATGGTAACTCTATTTTTAGTTTTTTAAGGAACCTCCATACTGTTCTCCATAGTGGCTGCACTAATTTACATTCCCACCAACAGTGTAGGAGGGTTCCTTTTTCTCAGGGGAACTTTTAAGAATCCACATAGCTCGGGTCACAACACAGACCTATAAAATTAGAATTTCTGGGAATAGAATCCAGGCACCAGGGATTTTTTAGAACTCTCTTGATGATAAAGTGGCAGCCAAGGTAGAGAAGCACTTGGCATAAGGAAGGAAGAGTGGGAAAAGCCTCATAAAATGTGACAAAAAGGGAGGAGAAGCTCACAAGGGAGCCTAAGAAGAAGTTTCCTGAGAAGAAGGAGAAACTGGAGAGAAGGGGATATGGATGCTTAGGGTGTGAGAGGTAAAGAAGAAAGGAGTGAGCACCCCTCTTCTACATAATCTTCAGTCACTTCTTAAAATGGCCCTTTCCTATAGGTACCTAATCTGTTTCCTATTCCCTGCATTTAACTGGGTAGATGTTCATCTGTGTCTCTAATCAAACTACTCCTAATGCCCAGGATTCCTGCCCTTTTCCAGATGTCAGTCCACACCCATTCCATGTATAAGACTTGGTTCAAAGCTCTTCCTCCAAAGATCTGGTTAATTTTATGAGATTCTGATTGCTCTTATTTAGATAGTCCCTTATGCATTTAGTTGTTTATCAAAGATGGCCAGCTGTGGGGCAGTGCAGAGTCCTGGACATAGACACTGTGGATCCGGGTTCAAGTCCTGCCTCTGCTGCAAGTTAATTGTCTGGAACTTTCCAGTGATGTGATTAAAGCTCATTAGTTTTTTTTACTGTAAGGTATTCAAATTTATAACTACTTTGAAGGGTTGATAGAAGTTTTATGGGTGAGAATGTAAGAAAGCTATACATGTGTTATAGTATAGGGTAGTATTACTAAATTTTACACTTGTTAGAAGCTTGCTTTGCAATCATCCCAAAGTCTCTCTCTCTGCGTATTTGTTTGATTTTCTAACTGTATTATAAACTCCTTAAAGTTTTGACTTTAAAAACGGCTGTTTTGTTTCTTTTCTGCCTCCCTAAAAGGGACTTAGTGTGCTGTTGAGATTCTTAGGCAGCCGTATGTTTGCAGGCTCATGCTGGTTAACCAAGTGCAGCATCCCTGATGATGTTGCTCCCGGGTGCAGGAAACTTTGTGCAGGGACCAAGAGTCAGATGACCGCCTGCACAGACATGGATATCATTTGGGTCACTATCATCTAGTCCAGATCTGTAGGCTCCAAACACACAAGGGAAAAAGTCTAGGTATGTACAGGAAATGGGAAAGGATTGAGGCAAAACCATGTGATGGCTCTCTCCAGCTTGTTCTGAGGAAAATTCAAAATCCTTAAGCCTACCAGACATGATTAGTGGGTCTACAGAATGACCTCTCTGACCTCGCCTCCTGTGACTCACCCCTTGCTCATTTTGTATCCACTTGTCACTTTACTATTCCCTGAACATACCCAGCAGCATGCTGCCTCAGAGCTTTTGCAGCTGCTGTTCCCTCTGCCTGGAATGCTCTTCTCCAGGCATTTGTTTCTTTCCTTTACCTTCTCCAGGTCTTTGCTCCAATGTTACTTTCTCAGCAGACCTACCCTGACCACCCTATTTAAAATTGTGACCCTCAACCTTCCTTATCTTCCTGCATTCCCTTTTTTCCACTGTAGAAATTGTCATTATCTGATGTAAGATGTATTTTACTAATTTGTTTCCTATTGTCTCTCCATTAGGATGTAAATTCTACAAGAACCATGTTTTCTATGTTTTTTTTTTTAAACTGCTGCATCCCTGGTGCCTGGATGATTCTTGGAACATAGTAAGTACTCAATATTTGTTGATGAATGATAAATTAGTAAATGAATGAATGAATAAAGTTTACTTATCAATGGCCAAGATTTTTTGAACTGGTAGAGACCCATTAGGTCAAGGAACCTGACTCTATTCCTTACTTTGGTTTCCTCTTGGTTTCTTTACAAGGCTTTATTTAATCAAATTACGGTGAAAACTCATATTAATTCCTGTGGAACAATGGCTCTTTAGCCTTCTGGATTTTGTTTGTTTGTTTTCTCTCAAAGGGAATAAATCCTAAAGAGGAGTTTCCTGAATCTTACTTCAAGCTCTCTCCTCTTCTTTTTTTTTTGCGGTATGCGGGCCTCTCACCGTTGTGGCCTCTCCCGTTGCGGAGCACAGGCTCCGGACGCGCAGGCTCAGCGGCCATGGCTCACAGGCCCAGGTGCTCCGCGGCATGTGGGATCCTCCTGGACCGGGGCACGAACCCGTCCACTGCGCCACCAGGGAAGCCCTCTCTCCTTTTATAACTCCTGAATGTGGCTCCTAGTCTTCCTACCTGTCTTTGGAAGAAATTTTCTAAAAATAGCCAGCCCTTCCTTTGAACTTCAAAGACAAATGAAGAGAGAGAATTAGGAAAATGTGGTTTGTATATATGTCAGATTAACTCTCTGATGAGGTTGATAGGGTTGGAAGAGTTTGGATGAATTTTCAGAAGCTAAAACAATGAGGTACTAGTGAAGGGATATTTGAACTTGCCTCTACTTCTTTCAGAGTGAATGTACAAGTGCATGAACCATTGGTCCTACCCAGGAGACCTGCTGCGGTATGATCCAAAAGCCCCTTGGTTCTATGCTCAGACACATGGAGGGGTTAAATGTGAAGTTCGATTTCTTTTATTTCTTATCTGACTCACCACAAACTCATCCAGCTACACCATAGGTGGGAGTAAGGCACATAAGTGACAATATCTCAGAGCTTTATTGTTTTAAAACCAGTTCTGACAGAGGTTGGGAAACTATCTGGCAAGAACACCAAGGTACAAACAGTGACAGCTTTATTTCTTCTTTTCCGAGTTGGATTCTAGTACTGGCACAAAAACAGAAATATAGATCAATGGAACAGGATAGAAAGCCCAGAGATAAACCCACGCACATATGGTCACCTTATTTTTGATAAAGGAGGCAAGAATATACAATGGAGAAAAGACAGCCTCTTCAATAAGTGGTGCTGGGAAAACTGGACAGCTACATGTAAAAGAATGAAATTAGAACACTCCCTAACACCATACACAAAAATAAACTCAAAATGGATTAAAGACCTAAATGTAAGGCCAGAAACTATCAAACTCTTTAGGAAAACATAGGCAGAACACTCTATGCCATAAATCACAGCAAGATCCTTTCTGACCCACCTCCTAGAGGAATGGAAATAAAAAGAAAATAAACCAATGGGACCTAATGAAACGTAAAAGCTTTTGTACAGCAAAGGAAACCATAAACAAGACGAAAAGACAACCCTCAGAATGGGAGAAAATATTTGCAAATGAAGCAACTGACAAAGGATTAATCTCCAAAATTTACAAGCAGCTCATTCAGCTCAATATCAAAAAAACAGACAACCCAATCCAAAAATGGGCAGAAGACCTAAATAGACATTTCTCCAAAGAAGATATACAGATTGTGAACAAGCACATGAAAGGATGTTCAACATCACTAATCATTAGAGAAATGAAAATCAAAACTGCAATGAGGTGTCACCTCACAACAGTCAGAATGGCCATCATCAAAAAATCTACACACAATAAATGCTGGAGAGGTTGTGGAGAGAAAGGAACCCTCTTGCACTGTTGGTGGGAATCTAAATTGATACAGCCACTATGGAGAACAGTATGGAGGTTCCTTAAAAAACTAAAAATAGAACTACCATACCACCCAGCAATCCCACTGCTGGGCATATACCCTGAGCAAACCATAATTCAAAAAGAGTCATGTACCACAATGTTCATTGCAGTTCTGTTTACGATAGCCCGGACATGGAAGCAACCCAAGTGTCCATTGACAGATGAATGGATAAAGAAGATGTGGCCCATATATACAATGGAATATTACTCAGCCATAAAAAGAAACGAAATTGAGTTATTTGTAGAGATGTGGATGGACCTAGAG